GGGGGGGGCAGCGGGCCAGGCCGGTCCCGGGCGAGTGGCTGCGCTGGGGGGCGGGAGCCCCGGCCGCGTGGCCCCCCTAGTTTGGAGTCTTTTTGTAATAAATGTATCTTATGCAAATTTTCAGTGCCTTAAATTTTGCTCCTGGGGTGAGCAGTGCCTCATTCACTCTGCCCTTATCCCAGCCCGATCTGCTTACAGTGTTTTCTCTGACTTGCAGAGTACTGCTAAAGGGGTTCCAGCACATCCAGAAAGCAAGAAGGAATCTGGGTCTAATGACCCAACCGTTGCTGAACCACAAACAACTGGGAAACAAAGTTCAATCCCTAGAGTCCCTAAGAGCAGAAACAAGAACAGAACTACAGGCTCATTGTCAGAGATGACTGAATCATGTACTAATGGAGAGACCTCTGAAGCGGAGTCAAATTGTTCTTCTGTGTCTGAGCCCCAGGATCCCATTTTCAGAGTAACAAGGAGAAGGCAGATCTTAATTGCATGTACCCCGATGTCTAAAATTAGGAAAAAACCGAAAATAACCCCAATAAATGAGTCTCATACTGAAGAAGTTGTCTCTGAAGCAGAATCTCATGTTTCAGGTATTTCTAGAATTGTGCCTTCCCCAGAAATAACTACAATAACCAGAAGGAGTAAGGCTAAATCTCTAACAGAACCAAGCCAAGAATCATATACAGAAGCTGTTTCTGATGCTGAGTCCTCATGCTCAGACAGTTCATTTTCTGCTGTCGCAGCTAGGAGAAGAACCAGGAGTATGCAAAGGAAATCACAAGCACACACCAAAAAGAAAGATGATAATATTTTACCAAGAAATCAAAGGCATATCATGGATACAACTGTAAGTTCAGAGGATTCAAACACGAGAGAGACTTCTGATTTACAAGCAAAATCTCTTTCTCAGATAAATAAGTCAGATTTTTATAATAATGAAATTTGTGATACCGATAGTGATTCCTCCCACAGAAATTTGGAAAAAATACCAGCAATGCAAAAACATCAATGTTTTAATGTAAGAGAGGAAAAACAGACCAAGGTGGCATCTTTTAAAGAAATAAAAAAGCATACTTTGGATGAAAACGCCAATGGAGTAACAGATGAGGAAGAAGAAATTAATGAGGAAAGTTCTCAGTTGAAGTGTCTTTCTGAGCTTCAGGGCACTAGCAATCAGCAGTTAGCTTCTGAAAGGTATTCAACTCCCCAAAAGAACGAAACTAGATCAGAGTCCTCAAATCTGAACTGTGAGGCTGTAATGAAATCATTAGCTCAAACATTTGCGGTTGTGGAAGTGGACAGATGGAATGAGGAGAGAAAGAACACTATAAAAAATGATTTGACAAAGTTTGGTGATTGTGATGATGATGATAATGAAGACTCCACAATTATCGGTTTCAGCGAAGACCACAGTGAAGGGAATGTAGATGAGTGTGCTACCACACTATACAAGTCTGAGATCAACACATGTCAGGATAAGAATGATTCTGTTTTATTAGTTCTCAGCAGTGATGAAAGCCAGCAATCTGAACACAGTGAGGATGAAGAGGACACTTTGTGTTTTGTTGAAGATAGTGGCCAAAGGGAGTCTTTAAGTGGACACCCAGGAAATATGTCACATGACAATGCATTGTTTGTAATTGACACAACTCCTGGATTGAGTTCTGATAAAAATTTTTACTTGGAAGAGGAAGAAGAGGCAAGTGAGAGTGCCACTAATGAACAGGAGGAAGAGGATGAAAAAAGTGAAGAACCATCAGACCTTGACAGAAGTAAAGATGAGACTAGTGATGATGAAGATGACTTACTAAATAACACAAAATCTAAACTGTAAGTTTTATCTGTGTTTTTATAAAGGACAGTTTTGATATGTATCTCAAGAGGTTAATTCACCATAAGAGTATGAAATATTAGAAAGCATGTGAATTGAGAAAATGACTGCCTTGGGTTCTTTATGGGAGGACTCTTCAACACTACCCTCATCTTTGTAGGTACCTTTGTTAGTCTCATTTTTTCCACTGATGTTAGTTAAAAGTGATCCTTTTGGTGATAAATTAGAAATCATCTCTGGGGCCATCAGGTAGCGTAATGGTTAAGGTGCTAGACTTTCACATGGTCAACTACTGTTCAAGTCCCAGACCTGATGGTTGAAAATCACATCAGGTGCATGTGCTCGTATGCTCAAAATATCAAGAGGAAAATGGAGGAAAGGGGGATACAGCATGGCCATGCCTCCTGGGGGGCAATTTTTCACTTTCCTTCTCATGTCTCTGTCTCTCTCAGGTGAGCATGCATGCCCTGTGGCAAAAACCTAATAAAAATAAATGATAGGCCAGCAGGTGTAGTGGTAAGGCGCTGGATACCTACATGGTTGACCATGGTTCAAGTCCAGACGCAGCGGCTTGAAACTCATGCCAGGCATGCATGCCCAAAATCCTGAGGAGCATGGATAAGGGTTTGCAGTGAGGCCATCCTCCCGGAGGGTGGTTTCTCAATTTCCGTCTGTCGAGCACACACACCCTATTAGCAAAAATCTCTCTTTTAAAAAAAAAAAATCATCCCTTTTTTCGAGTTATTAAGAGCAATATAAAACCGAAAAATAATCTCTTTTCTATATGTTAATTGTAAAGAAATTGAAAAAAGAAAGAAAAATATCACCCTGAAAAATGTTCATGTTTGAGGCTATCTTTTGGTTTCTCTTTTCATTTTAAACTTGTATTTCCTAGGCATAGGCCCTTGTGTCCATGGCAATATAGGCAGCCTTGTAAGGAATTATGCATTAATAGATGCCCAGTCTTCGCTGTAAACTAGTTAAATCAGTCTCTGAGGCTAGGTACAGGCTTACTATTTACAAGCCATGCTTCTTCCCACATTAATTCAGGAATATGTTCAGATCGAGAACCACTGTCAGAGATTGATTATGCTCTAACTACTCATTTTATGTGGTTAATTAGGGAAGAATGTCATTCATTATAAGTCCAAGTGTATTGCTTATGAAAGGAACTCTTGGTAATTTATATGTGTATAAATATGTAGTAGAAATTCTCATTTCATAGTATCATAGGAGCCCAGGCACAACTGTAGAAGATTCTGATTTGGTAGGTCTGTGGTATGATTTATTTTCTGTGGGATGTATGCTCAATGTTCTAATTGTCTTTAATACTTACTGATTTAAAGACACTACCAAATGTCCTTTGTCACCCAGGAAAACATTCTAAGATTTGATAACTTAGAAGTTCAGAATAGAAGGATCTTTTTCATTGGTTTTAGAAATGTGAATACATACTCATTAAATCACTACCTATATATCAAGATGGGCTGAATTACAAGGTGCATCCCCACCTCCCCTTTCCTATAATTCTTCTGTTTATAAAATACCTTTATGAAACCTATTGGCATAAAGAAAATCTGGGGAATTAATTTGGATATCTCTCCAAAAATCATTTTAAAAATGATTATACTAGATTTTTAAATTATATTTACTCAAAATTTTTTAGAAATTTCATTGGAATAATAAGATTCTTGGGGGGGCTTATTGATGATATAAAGGAAGAGTAGAATAAGTAGAATAATTTTAAATGCAGTCTTATTTGGTTCCATTTTGATATAATTACCTGATTTGTAAATGGTGACTTTTCTTTCAGTCTGAAGTTGACAAGCAGCAGCATAGACCCTGGTCTGAGTATCAAGCAGTTGGGTGGTTTATATATTAATTTCAGTGCAGACAAACTACAGTCTAAGAAGAGAACCTTAACACAGATCAAGGAGAAAAGGAAAAATGCGGTAAGTTACATGAAATGAGCTGTTAGGTTTTCAGAGAACTAACCAGTCACTTCTAGAAATGATTAGCTTGGGCCTGCTGGTGGCACAGTGGTTAAGGCAGCTGAATCTCACATGGCCCGCTGTGCAGTCTGAGTCCTGGACCTGGCGACGGAAAACATGCCAGCTGCTTATGTGTGTGCCTAAAATCCCTAAAGGAGAAATGCAGGTGAAGGGATTATATTGTGATCATCCCCCATGAGGATGGGTGCTTTCATTCCCTCTGTCTGTCCCTCCCTCCCTCTCCATGTGTACACACCCTCTAGCAAATTTTAAAAATGACTAGTTTTTGTAAAATATTTAATTTTCTTGCAGTGAAACCACATTGGCCTAATGTCTTGCTTTTTTTCTTTTTCTCTAGAACAATCTTTTTTTTTTTTTTTTAAGTTTGCTGTAGGGCACATGTGCTGGATAGAGAGGGAGAGTGAGAAATCACTCCTTAGGGGACACTGGCCACACTGCAGTCCCTTTTATATTCTTCTCTCGGTATTTGGGCCAGCATGTACACATACCTGGCATTATTTTTCAAACCTGGGTCCAGGACTTGAACTATGCAGTTGATCATGTCTTTTTAAAAAAGAGGGCTGGCTGTAAAAGATGACACTTTAAGGCAAATTAATATAGGATTGATGTACCTATTTTTGTACCCACCAATTATTATTCCAGGGGTTTTGTTTTCTCTTTTGCTATACTTACAGTCCTTAAATGCCTGGACTATGTTGAGAATCTGAAAGGTGTGAGTGCCTGCCTTTCCCACCAGGAAAAAAAAATGCACATGTACCTATTAGACAAAATTTTACATGTATTTCAGAGGGAATTACTGTTAACCATACCAAAACCTTTAGCCAACACCTTATATTGCTTTTTCCAAATCTCTATTTCCTAGCCTTCATGTCTCTCTAACTTTAGATCTTTCAATTCAGGTGCCTATTTATTCATTTAGATGTGCTAAGGCATTTGACCTCACTAATAATTCCTCTCCTGTTCCCTGCTTGAACCAGCTGCTCCTTTATCCTGGTTAATAACACCAAAATCTCTCTCTTTTGTAGTCAGACATTGAGCCTAGGGGATGATGCCTCTTTGTTCCCTCCTCTTAAGCTACTGTCACTGGCGAGTGTGGGCCTTTTTTTCTTCATCTAAACTACTATGTAGCCTCATTAGCTTTGCCTCCATTTTCTTTGTTCTTTAAGCCACCCTCCATATTCCTGCTAGATTTTTTTCTTTCTAAAAACACAAATTGACTTGGTATTGTCCTGCTTATATTCTTTAGTGGGTGCTCAGAGCCTTCTGTACTGCTAGCCCCACTCTCCACCTGCTGTGTTCTTGCCACCAAAGATAACTGCAGTTCCTGAACATAGACTGCTCTTTCCCAGGCCAGTGTAACATAGATTGCTGCCTTATGGAAACATTTTTTGACCTGCAGTCTTTACCCCCACCTCATCCATGCTACATCCAGTGTAGACCTGAATTATTGATCATATGGTGTACCTTAATTTGTTGTATTAGAACCTCATGTTCTTAAAACAGGATTTCTTGGTCTCAGCAGTAATGCTGTTTGGGCTGCATAATTCTTTGCTATGGGAGGATATCCAATGCACTTTAGGATGTCCAGCAGTATCCCTGTTTCCTACACGCTAGATGCTAGTACCATTCTCCCTCTCCCTACACCACCAAAAATGTCTCCAGATACTGCCAATTGCTTCCAGTAGAAAACCACTCTCTTAGAGCCTAGTAATTAGCACACAGCAAGCTCTTAATCATCAGTTAATATATATTTCATGCTGTCTTTTCTGAGTGATAGGCCTGAACTCTAATTGGGTGACTTTCTGAACTGATAATTTCAAATGTCATTGCCAGATCAGTGCTTGAGCTATAGTCCTGTGAACCACTGTGAGGGCTAAAGAGCAGTCTTACTTGGATCTTGCACTGGGGGAAATAATAATTAGGCTCCTTTTAATTACACAGTTCTATGAGACTATTTAATGGTCCTAGGTAGGGAATGAAATGTGCAGAAGTCATTTAGGGAAAGGTTAGCAGACAACTACCCAAAATTTAGAAACTGATATAGGTTTAAAATGCTGGAGAAATTATATAACATTCTGACATTATTTTAAAACCAATTTTATATTTTTATAGCTTCTGCAGAAAGCCATCATTACCCCTGATTTTGAAAAAAATTACTGTGTCCCACCATATAGTGAATCAAAGCATCAACTTCAGAAAAAACGCAGAGTAAGTACAATAGCTTATTTAGAATACTTAAAATGAGTTTGTATTTAGGTTCTACAACATGGTTGTACAACTAAATTACACGTATATCTCTGCTTGTTGATCTATATCATATGTATAATACCAAAGAAAAATATTACTGGGCTAGCCGGTGGCAGTTGGATTCCACATGGCCGTCTGAGTGGTTCGAGTCCTGGACCCGACAGCTTGAAAAACATACCAGGCACGTGTGTGTGCACACACCCGAAATCCTGAGAGAAGTGGAGGAGAAGAGCTATGTGTCATGGCCATCCCACCGCACCCCAGGGTGATTTCTCACTTTCCCTCTTTCTCTTTCTCTCTTTCTGTCTCTCTCTGTCTCTGGCAAGCTCACATGACCTATAGTAAACTAAAATTTAAAAAAATACAGCAATCTAAGGGCTATAAAATATGGTTACATAAACATGTTTTGCATGGGTTTTTCACATCTTTGCAGCCACTGTAGTACATGTAGTATAGTTTTGTAAAAAAAAAAAAAATTAAACAAAGTGACAGTGGACCAGCCCACAGTCTGGCAGTTAAGGTAACTGGATCTCACCTGGTTGATATGCTTTGAGTCCCAGGAATGGTGGCTTGCAAAACATGCTGAGCATATATCGTGTGTGCCCAGAATCCTAAAAAGAGGGAGAAATGAAGGAAAAAGGGTTGTGGCATGACCATTCCTCATTGGGGATGTTTTCTTGGTTTCTCTCTCTTGTGTGCGAACACATGCACCTTCTGGCAGTTTTTTTTTTTAAGACGAAAAACAGTGACAGTATACAGGATCACTGTATCTTGGCTTCTAAGTATCTTTTCTAAAGTGGAGGAGCTCGGTTACATACTATTCTAGGGAACTTAATGTAGCCAGCTAAAAATTTGGTCTGTTTGGTTTGCCTGTCCAGGGAGAGATTAGAAACTATTTTCTTTAGTAAAATAATGAGGATTGTTTCCATCTGCCATTTCAACTAAAAAGCTTATCAAGAGAGCTTGGAGCAAAGTTGAGAATGGTGCTCCAGTAATGTCACTAATACGGAGTATCTGCACATGGTAAGCTCAATAAATATTTCTTGGATTAATTAAACAAAATTAAATAATTTGCCTAGGAGTTTTCAAAATAGAACTTTCTGTGTTAGGGCCAGTAGGTGGCATGGTGGTTAATGTGCTAGACTCCCATATGGCCAAGCGTGGTTTGAGTCCTGGACCTGGCAGCTTGCTTTCTCACTCTCTCTGTCCCGCTTTGTCTCTCTCTCTCTCTGGTGAGCATACCTACCTTATAACAAGATAATAATAACAGCAACAAAATTAAACAACTTTAAACTTATTTTAATTTTTATTTTAGAAATTAAGATTTCTGGACTGTTGGAGTGAGTAGCTTTCCAAGATACCAGGGTGACTGAATAAAAGTGTTTTATAACTCCAGAAGTGGAAATGTTATCTATGGGTTGATTTACACAATAAAAATTGAAGCCGTGTATTCTTGTCCCAGTATAGTCAGCAATACTTGCTGAGATGTAAAATAGAGTTTAAGGAGTCCCAGTTTGTGAAACTGTTAATGCTGTGCCTAATATACCACAGATACTTTTTGTGATTTGATTCAAATCCATTTCTGGAGATAAATGCTTTCTTGAAAGTAACAGTGGGCTCGTTGATGATGTGGAATCAGGCAACTGGATCTCACATGGCCAACAGAGCAGTTCAAGACCTGGAGCCAGCAGCTCAGAAACACATGGCCACATGTACATGTGTGCTCAAAACCCTGGGAGGAAAATGGAGAAGGGATTGCTGTCTCCCCTGGGCAGTGCTTTTTTACTTTCTCTGTCTCTCTGTCTCTCTTTCTCCAGCAAGTACACACCACCCTATAGCAAGATTACCAAAAAAATGTTTATTTTTAATTCACAAATACTTTGTATATATAATATTTTATATTATAGTTATAATGTGTACTCTGACCTTACTGCAGTTATAGTGTTTATCTTTGAAATCTGAATTTTTGAATTTCAGAAGGAGCGACAAAAAACAGCTGGTGATGGCTGGTTTGGTATGAAAGCTCCAGAATTGACAGATGAACTGAAAAAGAATCTAAAAGCACTGAAGATGAGAGCAAGCATGGACCCAAAGAGGTTTTATAAGAAAAATGATAGAGATGGCTTCCCCAAGTACTTCCAGGTATGGTGCAAACAGATAGTGGTGAAACATCATGTTCTATGGATTTTAGTTTGGAACACTATAGTGAGGTTTACTCTTAAAATAGGTGGATATCTACAATGCATGTGCCTAATATGAGGAGTATATCTGCTTTAAGTCATCTAATAATAGCCAGAATCAAATTCAGACAGCTGCCAGCTGGGTTCCTAAGAAGTGAGATGGTGTTCAGGTCAGTTCTCTAAAACTTACTGAACCTGTATGGTTCAATTTATGAATAGTAGTGTAAGAGCAAGAGTCCATGTAGGGTGGAGGGCAGGGAAAGGGATCATTTATAACAGTCCCTTCCTTTAAGGTAGAGGAGCATTCTCAGGCAAATTCTGAAAAGTATTGATTTCCAAACTTTTCAGGTGAAAGACCAGTTATTTATCTTCAAGTTATTTCGTTGTTCTTGACTACTTTTTGGCACTCATTTGGATGACTATAATATTCTATGCCTTGAGGTCTGCCCTCTCTTTGTCCATTATGTATTGTAGCCAGTTATGTATTCTTTTTTTAAAAAATCTGTTCTTGTTATACCTCTGCACAGAAACCTCCTGTGATTTTTTATGACCTATAGAGTCTATACCCCTTAATTTGTCCCTTCATAATCTACCCAAACCAGTCCACTACCCCTTCTTTTGTCATGTGGCCCTCTTAAGTTCCACCACACTCAGCTACTCAGTCTTGTGAAACCAGTCTTTGCATTCTTTGACTTTGGATTTGCTTGGTGAAATTTTGCCCATACAAATCCAAGCCAAAATGTAATTTTTTGTCAAACCTTACTTACCTCTATTAAATAGAATTGGTCATTTGGCCTTTAGAGTGTCCATAGTGTTTTGTTCATTACAAATCATATATTTTTAATTTTTTATTTACCCACCTGTGGCTCTTTCTTAAGACTGGCTCCTTACTGGCAGGGGCCAGATGTTTTTCGTCTGTTCCCTGACAATCTAGCATAGTCCTGGCACAGAGTAGACACACTGTAAATGTTAACCATTTGAATGTGTGGACAAACGCAGAGTGCCCTAAGTAGGTTCTAAGTTGGCAGCATTTATGATAACAGGAGAGATCAGATAGTTACATAGTAGAATTTGTGTGTCTGTTTTCATTGTATTGGAAAATTAAACCAAAAAAGTTTATTATCTATTCTACTTTTTCCTTTCATTACAGTATTTATCATGCTTAGTACTCTTTAGCACTAAATTAAGAGTTTTGCATCTACTGTAAACTCTGATGAACTTTCATTAGTACCACTGGCATACTGACTGAATAGGTGACTATTTTTTTGCTTATAAATTTGTAAAACTATCTTTAATATGGCATAACATATGCTTCTGATTTCCATTCCTTTCTGTAGTATACTTTGTTAGGGGTGTACTGAAATGTTAAAGCAATTTGGCATTCAGGTATTTCATGTCTCATTTCAATCAATTGTTCATAGATTGGAACCATTGTTGATAACCCAGCTGACTTCTACCATTCACGAGTTCCCAAGAAGCAAAGGAAAAGAACTATTGTGGAAGAACTGCTGGCTGATTCCGAGTTCAGAAGGTAAAGAAATTTATATTTCATTTCATTTGATAATGTATATGCTTTTCTTTAAAAAAATATGTTTATAAAATTTCAAATAACTTAAATATATTTATTTAAAAATTTGTAACCCATTACATATTATCATGAATATATATTTCCATGAAACATCAAAACAAAAGTAATTTAATGTCTAGCTTAATTAAACACAGCCTTTGGGTTGGCTCCATGGCACAGAAATAATGCATTGCTCAAAAAATGCCAGATCCAGGAACAGTAGGTGGCATGGCAGTTAAGATGCTGGACTCCCACATGGCCAACTACAATTTGAGTCTCAGACCTGGCAGCTTGAAACACACCGGGCAGGTTTGCATGCATTCCCAGAATCCCAAGAAAAGGGATTGCAGTGTGGCTCTCGACCCAGGGTGTGATTTCTCATTTTCCCTCTCTCTCTCCAGTGAGCCCCTGCACCCTATGGCAAAAACAAACAAAAAACACACTTAAAAAAAAAAGAGAAGCTAGAGCCCACAGTTTAAATTCCCAGTCAACCTGAAACATGCCCACCTCATGCACAAAAGTATCTGACGTCCAGTGGACTGGAGGACTGGAAGAAAGGAATGGCTGCATGACCAGACCCTTTGGGGGGGGTCCCCCTCCTCCTCACAGAGGGTATGGCCGCACTAATCCCTTCTCCATTCTCCTCCTGGGATTTTGAGTTTGCACGCGTACATGCAGGCATGATTTTTTTTCTAATTTGTTTTTAAAATAATTATTTTAACTTTATTTTAATTTGACCAGAGAGGGACAGAGAGAGGGAAAGTGAGAAAAACAAGCCATCGAGTGTGGAACTTGAATGCAGTTGGCCATGTGAGATCCAGCACCTTAACCACCATGCCACCTGCTGGCCCAAGAAAAATTTGAAAAATAACAGGAAAGAGCCTTATATCACTTCTGCAAATACCATACATTGTAGCCTCTGGAAAAATTCCATTGTACCTTCATGAGAAGATGAGGGTGAAGGAGGCAATTAATATCTTAGTATTCTGGTGAAAATTATTTCTAACTAATGGACCTCTTAAAAGGGTTTCATCCATATTTTGAAAATCATGCACTTATATAATTTGAAATTATGAGAAATATATATCATACTATGTGTTAAAAGGTAAGTGTAAACATTTGGTTTTTACTGAAACTCTTTTTGATGTGTGTGTGCATGTTTATCCCGCAAAAATGTTCACAGCATTTGATATCACCCGATAGGTAGATATATTTATAGTACATGGGTCTTTAGTGGCTGAAAATTTTAAGTCTTCTTTCTATAGTTTCCATTTTCCACATTAGATTCCAAACTCTCTGAGGGCAGAGACTATAACTGTCTTGTCTACTTCTATCCCCAACTCTTAGTATGATTCCTGACATATAAAGGCAACTTAGTACATACGTGATTAATGGATAGAAAAGTTCAAAAAAATTGACATTTAGAAGCCCCTCTCCTATGTCTGATGCGTTGTATTTTAGAACCTAAAGGTTTGGTTTTCCTTTCAGATACAACCGAAGGAAGTATGCAGAGATCATGGCTGAAAAAGCAGCAAACGCAGCAGGAAAAAAATTCCGAAAAAAGAAGAAGTTTCGCAATTAAGATTCAGCAAGCAAATCATAGTATTTTATATATCCTGGTTACTAAAATTATTTTGAAAACTTAACACCATCACAAAAATTAATATAGACTGGCCTTGTTTTTATAGGATATCTGTTTGGAAGAAGTTGATTTGAGAGTCAGTTACATGCCCTTTAGAATAAAAATAGATGTGTGGGACTACCAGTTGGTGTAATGGCTATATCACTGGACTCCCATGTAGTCAACTGTGGTTTGAGTCCCAGACCCGGTGGCTTAAACCTCACACTGGGCACGTGTGCATGTGTGCCCAAGATCCCGAGAGGAGAATGGAGGAGAAGGGATTGCGGCATGGCTTTCCCCCTGAGGGGGGGGATTTCTCACTTTCTGTCTCTGTCTCTCTGTCTTTCTGGCAAGCACACGCGCCCTATACAAAAACCTCCAAAAAAATAATAAATGTGTGATCTTGGCTTCAACTCTTTGAAGGGAAAAAGAAGAACCTCAACTGTTTTAAGAGAATTAACAATTCTGTAAAGTTTTCATTGCTGTCATTTAGATAAATTTACTTAAAAGATATTTAGGAAGTTTACTAACCTGTTCATAAGAACTTTAAAAAATGTATATCAAAGTATATAAATATCATAATATATAGTTGTATATATGTGAAGGGGGGAGAGGGTAGACAAGCAGTGCCCCATAGTTAGGTACATACTCAGATCCAGAAAGTTGGAGAAGTTGAGATAGAGAGATCTGCTTGTTTCTGGTATAAAAGTCATCATCAAGGGTCCAGCAGATGGCATGATAGTTCTGTCGCTGGACTTTCATGTAGTTGACTGCAGTTCAGGTCCTAGACCCAGTGGCTTAAAACTTATGCTGGAGGCATGTGCATGCATGCCCCAAATCCCAAGATGAGAATGGAGGAGGGGGGATTGCAGCATGGCCATCCCCCCAGTGGGTGATTTCTCACGCTCCATCTCTCCAGTGAGCACACGCACCCTATAGCAAAAAAAAATAAAGTAACCATTGAAAAGAGAGTAAAAGTGTTCTTAGAGCAAATAGTGTTAGCATAAATCAAAGAACTAAGTGAAACTATAGGACTTAAGATATGACTGACTACCTAGTAAGTTTGGGTTAAAGGTAGATTTAGGAGAGCCGGTGTGTTAGCCAGGGGTCCCTAAGAAGACAGAACCAGTAGGTTTGTGTAGATAGAAAAGGATTTATTAGGGGACTCAGCTTACACAATTGTGGCTGCTGAGAATTCTCTCACCAGGCTGTCGCAAGTTGGAGGTCCTAGGATTTTGGTAGTGTGGATTAAGTCCAAGTCCAAGGCCTCAGCGATAGGAAAAATGATGATGTAGCTCATAATCCTGTGCTAGAAGTCTGAGAACCTGGGTGGCCACTTGTGTAAATCCTCAAGTTTGGAGGAAGAAATACCACTTTGATATTTTGGGAGGGAGATGGATTTTTTAAAAAGATATGTAACAGCATTAACAACAATAAGCAAAATCCTGAAAGATAATACTCTCCAAACTCCGCCATTTCGCAATTACAGAAGTTCAGGAGGGCATCTTGGAAGAGAACTGGGCCATCCCTGCCTCACTGCTCCTGTACTCCACTAGCAGTGTGTACTCACTGACGTGTTTGAAAGCCCTCATTGTGCCAGATCACAAAGGGCTTCAGTGTGTAGCCTGCAACAGTGTCCCAAGAGAGACTACTGTTGTGTCATGAAAAGCCTTGAAATGTGGCACTGACTTGGTCTCCTTATCAATGAAAATTCTTCCAAGTGTCTATTTCCAGAACAGGGAGATTTCATCCATATTGAAGATTTGCTCTGGAGAGTAGTAGTACTCCACAATCAGCTTATCTAGAATTTTCAGGAACTTCATCTGGCTTCACATCAGCTCTCAGATCACTCAACTTTAACATTACATAATGAATAATGATATTTTTAATTTTTATTTTTTTAATTTGCCAGAGGGTGCATGTGCTTGCCAGAGACATCGAAAGCGATAAGTCCTCCCACCACTCCATGGGGCATGGTCACTCCACAATCCCTTCATTTCTCCCTCTTGGAGGACTTTGGGGACACACACATTTCATGTTACCTCCTTTCCTCACAGATTGGAATATAACCTGTAGCCTGGGTTAACAACCACCGACCTGTACCTCCTGGGCTCAGATAGATAGATATCATAGCTAAATGAGATTCATTTCAGGAGTATAAGAAGAGTTAAATATTGGAAAATTTGTTAATATATTGCACATTATCAATAGATTATGGATAGCAAGTGAAGGAGAATAGCAAATGCAGCATTGTTTGTAACGGGTATGTACCCACAAGTTACTGGGTTGTATGGTAATTGTTCAACCATATGTCTCTAATAAGCACACATGCCCTCCAACAAATAAAATGTTGATCATTTTCTTACCTTGATGGCTCCAGCTGTCCCTGAAATGGTCTTCCAACCCTTAGTCTTGCACTATTGAGCCTGTAGTGCACACTGCAATCCGAGAGATGATTAAAAAACACCTTATGGGACCAGCAGTTAGCATAATAGCTATGTCGCTGGACTCCCATGTAGTTGACCGCAGTTCAAGTCCTGGACCCAGTGGCTTAAACTCACACTGGGCGCGTGTGCGTGCGTACCCAAGATCCCAAGAGGAGAATGGAGAAGGGATTGCAGCGTGGCTGTCCCCCCCGGGGGGGGGGGTTTCCCGCTTTCTATCTCTCTGTCTCTTTCTGGCAAGCGCACACGCCCTATAGCAAAAACCTTTAAAAAAAAAACCCAAAAATCACCTTATAAGGATAAGATACTTCAAAAACATTACAAACAGTCCAAAGGAAGCCCCCTCCATGCCACTGCCTTCTTCCAACCTAGATCTGCTCTGTTAACTGTATATCCTTACAGAAATTCTGTGTTTACACACAAGTACACATTGTGTGTGCAATAAACTACATTACTACTACTGCTACTATCAGGATTAATACACAGAAATGGAATCTTATTAAAAATACTCATTTGTGTATCAGCTTTTTTCATGTAATTTTGGACATTTTCCCACAGCAATATATGTAAGTCATTTTTTAAAGTTCTGCATTGTATTTAATCCACATTTCAAACAGACCACTACTGATAGACATTTAGATTATTTCCAGTTTGAGGCCATTACAAATAATGCATTTGCTATTCATTTTATAATAGGTAATTAAATGTTAATCTTTGTAAATATGCCAGCATTGCAAAATATTAAAACAGTAAAAATAAACATACACAACTAAGTGGGATTAATTTCAGGAATGAAAGAAGAATATTGAAAAACTTGTTAATGTACAATATTAATAAATCAAAGAAGCATAGCAAATGAGGCATTGTTTGTAATGGGTATATTACCTAGGAGTTAAATTCCTGGTGATTAACCTTTTCAGGGACTGACAAACCATTTGCTAAAGAGGCTGCACTATTTTACATTCCCACTGGCGAGCTGTGAAGGTTCTACTCTTTGTCAACCCTGTGCATCTTTTTTTATTATAGTCATGCTGTAAGAGTGTTTAGGAGTGCCTCACTGTGATTTTAAATCAAAAGCTTTCTAGAAATTTTTAAAAATAATTATTTAATTTTACTACTATTATTTTAACTTGCTCTAGGGGATGGGCACGCACCAGAGAGAGGTTAGAAAGCAGGCCGACTTGAACCACGGTCAGCCATGTGGGAGTCCACTGCCTTAGCCACCATGCCACTTGCTGGCCCCAAACTGAAAAGCATTAAAAAAAAAATTTTTTTAGACATTTTTGCCATAGGGCATGTGTGTATACCAGAGAGAGAGACACAGAAGAATGGGAAAGTGGGAAATTATCCTCCAGGGAGGTTGGCCACACCAGTCCCTTCTCCATTCTTCCCCTGGGATCTTGGGCGTGTACGCACGCACGCATACACACACACACACACAAAGTGCCCAGCATGAGTGGTCTGGTACTTGAACCATGGATTCTGCCAAGTGGGATCCAGCACCTTAACTACCCTTCTACCTGCTAGCCCAGACTGGGAAGCTATTTTAAACAGTAAGATAATTTAATAAGATGATGATATGAAGTTATTTAAAAATCAAAAGCTTTCTTAAAAATAAGTGATAACCATTTGAAAATATAATCAAGGGGCCAGCAGATGGTGTAAATGATTATGTCGCTGGACTCCCATAATCGACTGCTGTTCGAGTCCCAGACCCGGTGGCTTAAGTCTTATACTGGGTGCATGACTATGTGTGCCCAAAATCCCAAGAGGAGAATGGAGGAGAAGGAATTGTGGTATGACCATCTCTCCTGGGGGTGATTTCTTGCTTTTTGTCTCTCTGTGTTTCCAGGGAGTGCATGCGCCCTATAGCAAAAAAATCTCTCTTAAAAAATACATAGATAATCGAAATGGTCCAGCATGTGGTATGGAGGTTAAGGCAGTTGGATCCCACGTGGCCAATTGCCTGGTTTAAGTCCCAGACCAGGTGGCTTGAAAATCATGGTGGGCACATATGCATGCATGCATGCCCAAAATGTTGAAAGGAGAAAGAGGAGAAGGGATTGCAGTCCCCATGGTGTGTGGGGGGACTGCTTTCTCACTTTCTCTCCCTTCCTCAATGAGTGAACATGGCCTTTAGCAAATTTTTTTTAAAGTACAGTTCTGGTGAATCAAAATTAAGCCAAAAAGATCAATGGAATAGAATAGAGAATCCAGAAACCCAAATGCATATAGGAATTTAGAAAATGATAAAAGGATGAGTATTTATGATCAGTGATTCTGAGAAAAAATTCCCATTTCACTCCTTATACAAATAATACATTCTAGATGATCAAAAAAAAAAAAAGAAATAAATAAAAGATAACACTACTGAGGCCAGCAGATGGCATAGCAGTTACGTCACTGGACTCTCATATGGCTGACCGCAGTTAAGAGTCCCGGATCCAGGTGGCTTGAAACTCACAGTAGGCATGCGTGCCCAAGATCCTGGGAGGTGGCATGGACATCTTCCCTGAGGGTTGATTTATCACTTTCCTTTTCTTTGTCTCTCTGTCTGGCAAGTTCACATGCCCTAAGGCAAAACCTTTACCAAAAATAAAATAAAACCATTAAAAGGAAATAATTTAATATCTGAAGGCGGTATGGCCCCAAACCTAGAAGCTATGAAAAAAGAAAAAAAAATTTTTAAGCTGATAAATCCAAATACAGCATCTGAATCTCTGTAAGACAGAAAAATCAAACTATTCGAAATAAAATCAAAAGAGAAACAGACTGGGAAAGAATAATTGTAACATATCACAAACAAATAACAATTTTGTTCAGCCTACAAGTTCCTCTAAACTAATATGAAAATGACCAAGAACATAGAAAAATGAATACAACTCAAGGAGAGATAAATCACAGAAAACATAGTACAAATTATTGTGTATGAAAAGATAATTGGCTCCAATGAAAGAATTAAAACTACAACTAGAAACCATTTTCTGTTTAAGAACATGTGGGTCTGGGGGAACAGGCACTCTCACAGATAACTAGTAAGAGTAAAATGGGTACAGTCTTTACCAGAGAAATTTGCCATTATCTATCAAGAAATATAAAAATTAAGAGTACACCAACACATCCTTGGGCAGCAATTCAATTTTGTAGCAATCTATCCTACAGATGCACTTGTGTACAATAAATTAAGAACAAGGATGTTCACTGAAGCATTGTGTCACAGGCTAGTAGACACCAAAATGTCTATTAGGGACAATTAAATCATATATTCAATGAACAAGGCAGCTCTACATGTATTACATGAAATAAACAAGATAATGCCATTTGTGTTTTGAAAGGGATACTTACCAAATATATCAATAACAAGTACAGAAGTCAAGATATATAAAATGCTGACAGAGGCATAAAATGAATCTGAAAACATTTAGAAGAAACCATTATCACGGATGGCTTGTGGAGTGAATTTCGAGGCAGGGATACAGGAATAACAAGGATGCTGAGCTTACTCTGTCCCGTTTTTCACAATTGTGGATTATGTGTCTTTTGCATGAATTGCCTCTTTGTATAAATGAATTTTTAAAATTCATTCGCATTGAGTGAGGTGGAACCCTATCTTTGAAAGCTCAGCGTCAGAAGACTCAGAAGGTAGCAGGAGATGGAAAATGCAGAGTGGGCCATCTCCAGGAGATGGTAGGCAAGGTGGGCCTCCGACCACTTTGCATGGAATCACTGGCAGTCTTATCAGAAAGGTAGATTCCTGGGCCCCATCCTAGATGGATCGAATTAAGGGTCCCAGAGTGACGCTCAGAAACCTACATTGGGATTTCGGTGCGTGCTGGCTTTCGAGCCCCCTGGGCTGGTGGGGCAGTTTGTCCCATAGCAGAGCTCAGGTTGTAGACCCCATTTCCTTGTCCTCCACCACGCTGCCGACAGTCACGATCGCGCTCCGGACTGGAACTGTCCCTGAGATCCGGGCCTCCATTGCGCTCTCCTTTAACCGGAACCCACGAAGGCACTGAGTAGCTGTCGCCTCCTGTGCCTTCCAGCCGCCGCCGCCGCCCCCGGCACCGCTCTTTACTGAAGCCAGATTGGCTCCGGAGTGGCGGGGGCCAACTCTAAACCACTGAGGTTGGGGGAGCTGAGCTGGCAGGAGACCCCAGGAACAACTGAAGGCGAAAGAGCCACAGGAGCCCAATGGAGTGGGGAGAGCTACTGTAGTAGGGAACAGGAGGGAAGTTAAATCATTTAGGGAAAAAGAGATAAGAATAGAAAATATGTTGTAGGGAGGAGGGAAAAAAGAGCCACGACTCCGCCGGGACTCGAACCCGGAACCTTTGAATGCCTTCAGCCTCTAGAAGTCCAATGCGCTATCCATTGCGCCACGGAGCCACCTGTTGGAGTTTCCGCGCATCTGCCATATTAAGCCAGAGGCGACCGCCCCGCGCCCTTCCGCCGCTCCGTCAGTTGTCTGTGTCGCCCGTGC